AAAAAAAAAAAAAAAAAAAAAAAAATGTTGACTAGGGGAAGGGGATGGTACGCTTGAGGAAACATAAGGCCAAATCCCAGGGGGCTGAGATGTAGGAAGAGGTCCTCAGCCTCCCAAGGAACTTTCTTTTGGCTCTGCTTTTCTCAAGGGAGGGGCTGATTCCCGGATGGTAGATGAGCAGGCACTGTGATGACACAAGGAGGCCATTCCAGGCTCCCATAGTCGTTCTCAGGACTCCAAGGAGTCTTTTCACCACCTGCCACACCAGAAAGGAGAGGGGCACAGGTGAGGATGGGGTGAAGCTGGGCCAGTGGATTTGCCTCCTCACTCCGGCCCCCAGCCCTGGCCACCACTTCCGAAGCCCTGTCTGACAGCTGATGATGCAGGGAGATGAGAGTGCAAACCCTCTCCCTGGAGCTGACAGTGCAACCCCCCCACCCACCCCCCTGCTTCTTGGCCAGACTACAGATTGCTGCGGTTCTCAGGGCTGAGGCCAAGGAAAGCAAAGAGAGGAAAGCTGCTGAGGGGGGAAAATAGAAGGCAGGGTCGGATTGTGACAGAAAGAGGGGGGTAAAAGGGAATCCCCCAACAAAACACAGAAGGGAATTTTTGGACAAAGTGAAAGTTCTGAGCTATAAAACAGGAGGCAGCCACAGCCTCTCACAGACTCGCATGCTCACACTCTTAGAGGACACCTCACACCCCACCTGGACACCAGTGTGCCTCTCATCGCTCCCTCGCACACGCATCTGGGCCTTGGCCTCACACAGACTCTTGCATACACCCAGACACTCGCTCAGCTCACACACGCACTGTCAGCCTGCCTCAGCTCACCCTCCATGGCACCCCGTGTGGCCCCGATGTTGGCCCTCAGCCTGCTGCTTCTCTGGACCTCCGTGGGTAAGGCTAAGGGGAGGGACAGGGAGTGGTGGCAGTGAGTGGGGCAATGTCTGGGTCTCAGACTGCTTGATGATGGTCAGGAGAGACACTGCAAGTTCAGGTCTGCATGTTTCAAACTGGGGATTCCCATACCAGGTGTGTCCCTGTGCTTGTGGGTGTACCAGTGCCTGGAATTCCAACATGGCTCCACGCTGGGCATGTCCAGGACCCTATGGCTGCCCCTTTTTCTGCAGGCTCTATTTCCTGCTGCCTTCATTTCCCAGGCAGGAGAAAGAACAGTGTATTTGTTTAAGGTAGGGAGAATGGGAAGCACTAGAGCTGGTAGTCAAAACATTTATAACTGTAATTGACTCATTTATTCCTTTTTTTAGAAAATTTGAGACAAGTTCCCCCTATATTGCCCAGGTTGGTCTCAAAATTCCTGGGCTCAAGTGATCCTCTTGCCTCAGTCTCCCATAGCTGGGATTGTAAGTGTGCACCACCAGCCCAGTTATTTAGAAATTCATAAAACCCTTAACACCAGCCTCCCCTGCCTCAGTACTATGATGGTCATCAACTCTGTTCTCTGGAATGAGGGGAACTGAGTGGACCTGGGAGAGAAGTTGCGGGATCAGAGCAGCAGGAAGGTAATGTGGGGCTCAGGCCAGTGGTTCTTTACCAAGCTTAGAAGAATTATAATATATTTAGCAACCAGTAGGGCCATACTGTTGTATACCAGCTGAATATCAGGTCCAGCTGTCCCCATCCCACACACTCAGGTGTCCTTAATGTCACTTAGGCCTGTGGCCCACCCTTATGTTCCATCACCACTTTCCCCTATCCCAGCCCCTGCTCTGGGTGGTGCTAATGATGCTGAAGACTGCTGCCTGTCTGTGACCCGGCGCCCCATCCCTGGGAACATCGTGAAAGCCTTTCGCTACCTTCTCATCAAGGATGGCTGCAGGGTGCCAGCTGTTGTGTGAGTTGTGGGAGGGAGTATCTGGCCACATCGCTCCTCAGCCCTTAGCGATAGCCCCCCATGCCTCATCCTTCTTTCCTGGTCACACTCAGCCCCTTCAAGGAAGCCGCTGAAACAGGCTCCCAGGCATGATCCCCAGCATTTGCCCCTCAGACTAGAGCCTTCCAGGAAGCTGGGTTCTGCGATTCCATTCTTTGGCTCTGGCTCTCACTCCAGGTTCACCACACTGAGGGGCCACCAGCTCTGTGCACCCCCAGATCAGCTCTGGGTAGAACGCATCATCCGGAGACTGAAGAAGTCCTTTGCCAAGGCAAGCCTGGCCCCTTCCCAGCCCTGTCTCCATCCTCCAAGCCCCCTCTAAGATTCTGTCCCATGACCCTGTCTTGCCTTCCTTCCTCAGGGCAAGTGCCATAGCAGTTAGCCCCTGAAAGCTCCAGAGGGAGCCTTGAGTTTGACAGAAAGGATGTGAATCACCTTGGCCTGGAGAACCAAGGACCAGAGAGAGGGACAGGCCTCCAGCTGTTCTGTACCAGACCTGACCCAGCCAGGACAGGGCCTGGAGTGTCAGTGTGACTGTGAATGTGAGTGTGAGCAAGAGAGTGTGCCACAAGCCCAGCCTCTCCACATCCAGAATGCAGTGCTTCCAATAAAGCCACTTGGCACCCATGGATCTGTCTGTCTGCTGTCTGTTTGCTCTCTACCAGAGAACAGGAATAGGAAGGGAGAAGACAGAATAGCAGCTGAGGTCTGGTGCCATTCCACCCTGAGATCTGAGCAGTCTCCTCATCAGTCTCCACCTAACACCCTGATGCCCTCAGGATCAGCCCCCACAATTAAGGCACCGCATCATACCTCCTCACCACGAATCACATTCCACATTCGGCCACACTCAACTTGCACCATTTCCCTGAATGAGCCAAGTCTCTCAGACCTCCCTGTCTCTACTCTCCAAGGCTGGTGTTCAAGCACCTAGGTTTCTCAGGGGTCACCTATCGGGGGGGCAAAGGGCAGGGAGAAGGGCTTAACTACTACCTAGGACAAAGTGCTCATCCACCATGCCATTCCCTCTGCTACACTCTGTCCTCTGCCCCCTGCCTTCCCATCTGGATCTGTATGTTTCTTCCTCTAGGAAGCCTTCCCTTACCCCTGACTGGTTTAGGAAGTTAACTCCCTTCCAAGCTCAAAGGGCCCCCTGTGCTACCCCCATCCCCCACCACATTCATCATACTAGCCTACATTTGCTAGTTTGTCCGTGTTTCCTGCACAGGGGTTGTGTCTATTTTGGCTTCCAATGTGCTGCCTGGTACAAGGTCACTCAATAAATATTTGTTTAGAGAATGAATGAATATGTGAGAAAGGGCTCTGCAGCCATAGCTGAAGGCCCCATCTGTCTATACAGTTTGACCTCTGGACCAGCCCTCCTCTCACACAGTCTAAGCAAGTTCCAGCTCTATCTGAGCAATCCTGGGGTCACATCTCTCAGGGACACTGACAGTCATATAGAGCCAGAGGTCAGATATGGGGGTAGGCCCATGGGCAGAAAAAGGAGCAGCTAGGGAAGCTAGTAGATTCAACCTAAAGGAGCCCCACTACCACCCCTGCAGTGCACATGGGCTACAGGACTCAGAGGCAACACAGAGACCAAGAGGACAAGAGCCCCATGACTTGGAATATGGGCTGCTCTGTGAGGAGTAAGCTTCTTGTGCTTCAGAAGTCACTGGGAAAGCTTCCAGACTTTGTCCTCTAAGGGCCTATCCAGCCAGAAGTGACAACTCTATGCCACTAGGGTCAGATGGCAGCTAAGAGTCCAGATCAAGTGTCCTTGACAGGAAAGAAAAGCTATCATTATACCAGATACACTTCAGCTAGTAATAAATCCAGGCCAGAGGAGACCTGGGCAAGCGTTGGAAGAGGAACAGTGGTGAGGCAGTTGTGCCAGCTCCTCCTCACTGGGCTGAAAGCATGGCATTCTCTTCCTCTTCTCTGCTCCCACAAGCAGGTGTTCAAAACCTCAGGTATCCCAGGTCTCGGGGTCACAAGGGTTGGGAGGGGTGGGGATAGTTTCCAAGAACAGCTGCTATGGCTGGAAAGCTTGGCTCAGCTGGCTGAGAAAAATTACCCATCCATTCATGCATTCATGCATCCATCCACCCAGCTGTCCTTCCACACATTAGACATTCATCCATCCTCTCACCCACCTAGCCACTTCCCACTCATCCATCCATGAACCCATCCATCAAGCCACCCAGCCATGGAGTGTCCTGAACCCCATAGGCAGAGAACACATATGTGAGGGGAGCACATTACCTCAAATCTTTCTCATGCCCCAATGAAAACAAGAGGAAGTCAGCCTGCCTCAGAAGCAGACACAAATCCTCTCCCTGGACCCTCAGGCTAATACATAGATGAAGTAGGAGAGGTGAGGGTGGGAACCCTGAGGGAGGTGTTAACAATATTGAGCCCCCAGACACTATCTTCATGACACTGCCACTGGGAGTTTCAAGAGAGAATCAAAAACTCATTGAATTCAATCCCTGAGTCCACATCACACAATCTTGTCTCTGCCCCCATCACTGTATGGCCTTGGGCAAGTTCATTCAACATTCCCCATTTTAAGGCCTCAGTTCTTCCATTTGTCAGATGCCAGGGTGGGGCTTGATTTTTGAGAATCCTTCCAAAGACTTGGCTCTTCAATCCTTGGATCTCATGCTCCATCCCAGAATTTGCATAGGCTCCCTCAAAGTTGGCCATATCCAGAAACTTTTCCACTTCTTGGGTCCCCAGGGGCCCTCATCTGGGAACAAGGAAAGGCTGAGGCTTAAAAAGACTGAAAATAATCTACAAACTAGTGAAGTGCCTTAGATTGAATAGTCCTCTGCTTGACCTTGGCAGCCTGAGAAATGAAGGATGTGAAGGAAGTCTGAGGGGCTGGATACCCCACAGGGAGCCGGCATATAGCTCCACCCTCACCCTCCTCTAGCCATTACCTTCTATCCTAGCTTTCTCTTGTTCTCTATTTCTAACTGCCCATCTATACCAACCCCTCCTGACACTGGGTCTTATCCCCATAGCTCTCTGCCAGGTATACTGATCTAGCAATCTGAGGTTGCCCCCTCCTATACAAACATTCTCAGCACTGTAACTACATTCAGTCAATATATGCTCCCTGTTTCACTATAATTCTCTGACAAATGTTTCATCTGCACTTATCACAAGTATTGCCTACCTACCTCTGACAATGATGAAGCTGCTAGCTTTCTGGCAGGTAGCATGACTTGTGGGTCCCCCAGCAAGGATATGGAATGTTATGGTTTAAATCTAGAATGTTCCCCTCAAAAGTCTCCTATGTTCAGAAGTGGAGCTTTTTAGAAGGTGATTGGATCATGAAGGTGCTAGAACTGATCATAGCAGATGGATCCACTGATCCACTACAGCGAAATGTGCTACAGGAGGAGGTGCCTGGTAGAAAGAGGAAGTTTGCTGGGGGTATGAACTAGTAGACAACCCACCCTTGCTTCTCCTTTCTCTCTCTGCTTGCTGGCCACCATGACATGAGCAACTTTCTTCCACCCACCCAGACTCTTCCACCATGCCATTTTTGCCTTGGAGTTCGACAACCATGGACTGAAACCATGAGCCAAAATAAACTCCCCTCCTTTATGTTGTGGGTATCACATATTTTGTCCCAGTGACAAAGTGACTAAGGTTCTGGGGATTTAGCTGAGTGGTGTCACGCCTGCCTCACAAGCCCAATGTCTTGAGTTTGATCCCCAATACCACGGGAATAAAAAGTAACTAAGACATGGAGGCCTTGACACCTACCTCTACAGACATCTTCCTCTCTCCTTGCAAATTCTTTCCCAGATCTCCACAGCACATGGTCCTTCCTACAAGTTTAAGTTCTGCAGCTGAATACCTCCTTCCCTGAAAGCTTATGGTCCTTACAGCTAATATCTTCCTAAACATATCTGAAATCCCTGTTCAGGGAGCTTTTTAGGATAGCTGATGTCCTGACCATCAGTTCTGGGAGGTCCCAGGGAGGAAAGACTGAGCCTTGTCCATCTCCATTGCCAACACTGCTCTGCACAGTGGCTGGCACACAATAAGCCCCAATACACATCTGATTAACAAAAAATAGATTTGAATGTATCCTTTCCTATTATGCGCGCACACACACACACACACACACACACACACACACACACACACTGGAGCACATCCAGTTCTTAAAACAGTTGGGGCTAACTCTGTTGCGTGGTTGAATATTTGGTCTGAGCCAGCTCCATACGGTTTTGATCATGTTTTTCATGTTCAACTTCTCAGCAAGCCCCCACCCCATGTCACTTCCTACTTCTAGCCTCTGGGAAATTCAGAAACAGACAGAAAATCTTGGAAATAACATTCTCACAAAAGAGCAGGACTCCTAAATGGGTTGTTTACTCCAAGAACCCCTACGTAGGAATAAGCAGGCACTTCCCTGGTAAAAGAGCTTCCTAGATGACCCTGAGAGTTTGTCCACATGGAAGGACATGGCTCTGTTGTACTAACTCACTATTAGTACTGGGAGCTGCTTTAAGTACTATGACCATTCTTCTGTTGCAGATCAGAAAACTGAGGTACAGAGGTGAAGTAATTTGCCAAGGCTATACAGCGAGGAAAATGTCAGAGCTGAGTTTCTATTTGCCAGTTTGGCTCCAGAATGTACCACCTACCATTTCACATACTGCCTCTCAGAGTTGATCTATATCCTAAGTAAAAATAGAGACCATTACAGCAGGGCCAGGTCTGACGAAGTGTTCCCAGGGAATAGAGAAAGCCACTAGTTTGGGGTGTTAACCATAAGCCAGTCTCCAAGCTGAGTCCTATATTTACATTATATTATTGCATCCTCAAACAACTCCATGAAGAAGACTCCATTAGTACCATTCTATGTCTAAGGAAACTGAGGAGTAAGGAGGCAGAGTGACCTTCCAAGTCCATGCAACTTGTAAGTGTCAAAGCTGGAATTGCAGTCCAAGTCTGCCTTACCAGAATAACCTGGACTGATTGCTGATGGGCCCAATTAGAAAGGCCTTGCTTGTTGAAAAAACAAACAAGACAGCAACCTGAAAATCTCAGGCAGGACCTCTATGCATGAACCCAGAGAAAGAGATGGGCATTCCACCTGGGCCTCTCCAGAAGAAGGGTAATGAGTTTCTCCAGACTCTTCAAGAGGAAACCTGCTCAGGCTCATTTTTCCCAACAAGGGAGTGGTGGAGCAGAGGATCATTGGGCTATAACAATCCCATCCTATGCCATTCCCAGGAGAGCATCAGAAAAGGAGGAATGGAGGGGCAGGGCTGGGGATGATTGGAGATTGGAAGGGCAGGGGTAGTGGAAGGAAGGGGTAGTGGCAGTATTAAGGGTTCTGTGGGAGAGATTTCTAGAAATAGGTGGGCTCAAGCTTCTGATGAGCAAGTGACTAAGGGCCTCAGAACTAACCTGGAGAAGACCAGTCTGAAATACAAAGCACCTGGGAATGATGGGGGAAAAAACAGACCAGAGGTATAGTCAAATTGAGGGTTAGGTCTTTAACATATGAATTTGAGGGGCACACAGTTCAATCCACAGCAACATTCAACTCTAATTCCAAGAC